TCCCGGCTCTCCGGGCCTCAAGGCCCCAGGCCCGGCCGCTCCTCCCGCTCCCCCTCCTTTCTCCTCAAGCTTCCCCTCCTCCCAGCCCTCCTCCCCGCGAATCCGGGCTCCTGCCCGGCCAGGGTCTCGCTCCCCTCGCGCTCCCCCAAACCCCACCCCGGTCTCTCCTTCCCGGGGCGGCGGCGGCCGCGGGAGCGGGAGCCGGGAGCGAAGGAGGCGGCGCCGGGGACCGGGGGAGGCTCCGGGCGGAGGGAAGAAGGAGGGTGCGGAGAAGACAGGGCGGGGGGAGGGAGGGGGAGACCGAGGCGAGGGCGCCTCCCACAAGCCGAACCCCGGGAGCCGCCCCGGATCCCGGCCCCGCCCTGGACCGCCCACGGCGCCGGGGGGCGGGCGGCGGCGGGTGGGAGGCTGGGGCGCGCACCGGAGCCGGGTGGGGGCGAGGGGCCCCGAGTCGAAGGCGGAGGAGCGGGCGCCGAGGCTGGGAATCTGGGATGCAGTTGGAGAAGGACGGCTGCACGAGGAGTAGCTCGGGATCGGGGTGAGAGGAGAGAGGCGGAGGCCGGAGCCACGAGGGGAGCGAGGCAGGTGGGAGGGAAAGGAGAAGCTGAGGTCAGACCGGGAAGGGCGGAGGAGGGGGGTGAAGGCCGGGCGCCCGGAGAGGCTCCCGCCGCCCAGCCGCTTTGCCTCGCTGCCCTGGGCAGGCAACTCGGGGAAAGGACTGAAGGCGAAAGCCGGGGAGGGGAGCATCAGGAGAGAAATGGAAGTAGTAGAAGGGGGAAAAAAAAGGAGACAAAGGAGCCTCCAACGGGCTGGAGCCAACCTTATCTTTCTTTACTCCAGCTGGGCTTGTCAGCATTTCTGGGTAATGGGGAGCTGGGAGCCTGGAGACTGCGGGAAAGACAGGCCTCTGGACAGTTCCCTTGGCTTCTCGCCTTTGTGCGGTGGTGAGGGTGTGTGTGTTCATGCGAGTGAAGGGTGTGTGTGTGTTCATGAGAGTGAAGGGCGTGTGTGTGTGTGTTCATGGGAGTGAAGGGCATATGTGTGTGTGTGTTCATGGGAGTGATGGGCATGTGTGTGTGTTCATGGGA